AAAAGACATCAGAACCAACAAAACACACATTTCCATCAACATTAAGATAGACAAGATTTGTTAACTAATGTAACAATAGTATGCAAAAGAAACAACTCTGTAAAAATGACATAAGAAGTATTTAAGGTTAAATATCCTGAAATAGAAGTTAGTAGAGTGATGAACATCAGGACTAAATCAGTGCCAGTGGTAATAGTAGAAGCAATAGGTCATAAATAGGTCTGAAACAAAATTACCCAGAAGATCCCAGGCATCATAAATATCCAAGGTATCCAGAAAATGACCCTCCTAGGAGAAAAACACATATTCCCAAAGGGACACACACTTCAGGCCCAAAGGATCATGGGTTTATCTTGGCTGTAAAGGATAGTGTCAGCATATCAAGAAAATAAAACATGGAACAAAATATATGATCATTATTACAAAATTAGATCTTATAAATAATATTAATATATAATTTCAAAATCAAAATTATCAAGATTCTGATACATGGTCTAAAAATAATAATAATAAATAATTATTAGTAAATATAATAAACATAACAATGGTCTAAAATAAATAAATAAATTATTATAAAGTAAAACTAATAAACATAACAATTATTTAATTTAAAATGTAATTACCATCGTTTAAGAAATATTATTCAAATAATGGTAATCGGATATTCTAAATAAAAATTTTGTTTCTAAATATTTTTCCCAGTGTGCAGAGGAAGTTAGTTTTGCTATCGTGGGCTCTTTAAAGCCCACCTTTGATGAATAGAAGATGCGCTGCTTTCGGATGTTTCCCATTGGACAGCTGAAGCGTGTTCGCGTTCTGATTGGTTGAGGAATGTGTCACTCAGCGTTCCACTCTCTCCGATAGCCCGCCCCCTCCTCTTCACGGACTGGCTATTTGGACAGAACGAGGATTTTCACGAAAACATAGCTGTATAAAAAGCCCGTGGGAATGGATCAAGCCGCGTGACAGCTCCCTGGATGGCGGGTTTAAAGTAGTTTCAGTAATGTTTGATTGTGAAGACAGACGTTAGAGGAGATTTAACGACGATGGGACTTATTTGATGTCCAAGACGGAGAGATAGGGGCCAAAGAAGTGGACCCCCCCCTGCTTTTCTCTTCGGTTGTGGCGCTACAGCCGATGGAAGCGGACGGGACGTTTGCAGCGAGCTGGAGGCCCGGAGCGTCTCCTGTGAAGCGTCGTCACTTCGCCGCGGGACTCATTTGAGACACAACCCCGCACTTTGCGTTTCAAACGGCTGATTGGGCAACTTTTTTAGCGGAGGAGAGAAAGTTAGCAGCTCGGCTTTAGCTGCGCTCACCATGACCATCATTGACACCACTTAACGGAGCCTCAGGTCACGCAGCGCAGGTGAACCCACGCATTGTGACCCTGTTCATGGACTCCACGCCGTCTCTCTGTGGAGCCTGTTCGTGGGAAGCCGAAATCTCCCTGCGTACTTTCGAGGACTGTCTTCTCAAACAGGGGCTGCTTTTATTTATTTATTATTATATATTTGTTTTGTTCTATGAACTTTCCCCCATTCCACTGACCAACATGTCACTGAAAGAAAACGCCTGCCGCAAATTTCAAGCCAACATTTTCAACAAAAGTAAATGTCAAAATTGCTTCAAACCAAGAGAATCCCACCTGCTGAACGACGAAGACTTAAATCAGGTATCTATCTATCTATCTATCTATCTATCTATCTATCTATCTATCTATCTATCTATCTATCTATCTATCTATCTATCTATCTATCTATCTATCTATCTATCTATCTATCTATCTATCTATCTATCTATCTATCTATCTATCTATCTATCTATCTATCTATCTATCTATCTATCTATCTATCTATCTATCTATCTATCTATCTATCTATCTATCTATCTATCTATCTATCTATCTATCTATCTATCTATCTATCTATCTATCTATCTATCTATCTATCTATCTATCTATCTATCTATCTATCTATCTATCTATCTATCTACAAAGGTGAAGCTAATTGGGCTTAATTAGTTGTCAGCCAGAGGGAGGGTCCCTTAACTCATTCTCATACATAATATCTGTGTGTGATACATGGGCAAGTGACTGCTCTGAAGAACAAATATTAATAGTTTTGTTTAATTATTGCTGTTAAAAACAATATATTTTAGTGTGGTGTTTAATCCCTGGTCTTTTTTGATAAACTGATGTGTTTTATGGTGAGTTTTGCCCAAACAACTTTGTGACAAACACTCCTTCCTATTCCTAATATATTTGGATCTTTTTTTTCATTGTTTATGATAAGCACCGACATAATATATATATATATATTAGTATATCTGTTGTGGAAATAAGGCAGAAAGTTTACTAGAACAGAAGCACCCAATGCCTCAGAGCATTTTGAACATCTGTGTACTTACATGTTAGTCACCAGTTTAGTTGAGGTGTTTATATAGCCGTAACCAGCCAAGGTGTAAATGGATGATACATTTGTGACTAATGGAGATTTCTC